GTTAAGCGTGCACTGAAGTAATATTTTAGGCGCTATAGACTCTTTAAACAGTCTAGTGTGATTTCTGATACCAACGGATGTTGATAGCGAAAACTTAGAGGCCTAGGAGTGCTGCCATCGCAGGCAGCATAATGATTATTTGGGCGCGTTACGTAAAGATGTCAGCGATTGACAACACAGGTGCCGGGTTTTATTCTTAAACAACTTAATTTTGACAAAGGAGACACAGTGAGCAGTTGCAAACGTGGAGGTGCTAGTTTTTACGTGCCGCCGTGTGTCTACATATTAAACTGTCTTGTTTTGAAAGGAGTTGACCCTCAGTTTGGCTTGATGGGCTGTAGGTGGCTGACTATTAGAGAACTGTGTGAAACCCCAGCGGTGGTTTATAGTCCTGAACTACAGACGGTGACGAGTTTTTTTATACAGGGCTCTACATGAAAGACCGTCTCTAAATACTGAGACATACACATATTACGCGGCAATAAATGTATTAGGTTCATTCTAGACAGTTAATAAATTGTGGACGAAGTCTTTCTAATGACGGTAGTCGCCCGTAGGCATATACCTACGGGTCACCTATACGTGGCGGTTGAAGTGACAGAGCTCTCTTTTTTGTTATTGTTTGGTATCTGCTAACGTTTTTTAACTTGATTACTTAATATGTGCACGCAGGCATCAGAGAGAACACGAAGAAGTCGAATTAAACGGTACGGGTGCCGTACGAGTAGTACAGTATCGTACAATCTTATTAAAGACTTGGATGGCCGGAGATCCATGAAAGTGACACATCAGTTGCCATTGAACCGACAGGAAATGCATATGTTCATTAGCTACGCGAGTGGTCTTGCAATGCAATATGGCGCACACTCAGATGTCTTCGCAACCTGGAATACAGACGACGAGGATACTTTTTCTGTCCTCGAATCAGCTGTAGCCAAGTGACTTAAACAGTCGCTGGACACCCTTGCAAATCATGTGTAGAAACAACACGACAACTCAAACGGCCGGTGAGTATGTCTAATACACTAGTTGGTGGTCTTTTTTCATCTATAGACCTCATACCCGCATCATTGTCGATGGACCAGACTGAAGCAGCACTGCCGTCGCCGATGGATAACCAGTGACGCACTACCAAATACGCACGTGCATATCCGTTTACCTTTTTAATACACTTTTGACTTCCACAAACGCGCCCGCATTAC